GAGAGAGAGAGAGAGAGAGAGAGAGAGAGAGAGAGAGAGAGAGAGAGAGAGAGAGAGAAACACAAATATAATCAACACATCGTAATACGATAACTGTCTGAATGCGCAATAAAACCAGACCAGGTATTCCGTAAACAAAATAACAAACCTTATTATTGATGTTAATGAATAAATGGAAACTGCTGTGCGAAATTACTGCGCATGCGTCATGCACCCCCGCGCTGTACCTGTGACTGATCTTTATTCGACGCACGAAGTTTTCGGACGGGTCCATACGGATGCTCTTATCTTGACGTCTGTGCCACAAAACTATGCAGCGGTAAATGACGAAAGCAACCAGTAGCACAGCGAACAGTCCCACAGCCAACGCGATAGCCAGTATGTACGCAGACGGCATCTCTGTAAATATATTAATTTTGGGTTTGCTTATAGGTTAGGTTTTAATAACTCGGGTTAGCGTTGACGTTAGGGTTAGGATTCGGGTTAAGGTTTGGGTTGAGGTTGGGGGTTAGTGTTAGGGTTAGGATATCAAAATCACCGCACCTAACTCACTGGTTATTGGGTCATAATTAACGTGAGGGTCACGATTAAGGTTAAGGTTAGGGGTAGGGATAGGGATACGGATAGGGGTAGGGGTAGGGTAGGGGTAGAGGTAGGATTGGGATATCAAAGTTACCGCAACTAATACACTAACTATGAGGTTATGATTATGATTGGGTTAGGGTTAGTCCTACGATTTGGGTTAGGAGTATCATTAGAATCATTAGAAACAATTACTTCCAAAGAAAAAATAATCTTCCTCAATCTTCAAACAGAAAATTGAGTAATTGTAGCAGAATCATGACTTTGACAATAATCGCGCAGTGATGGCTACGGTGGCCCTCGTCAACCACTGTATTCTGTCGGCGCCGCCATGTTGGATCTACGGTAACCACGAACGCCGCTCCCATCTATATATAGCTATGTATAGATTCTCGCGGGTTGCATGTAGCCAGTAAACATCGTTCATCTATTAAATCAAAAGAAATCCACGCGTGTGTAGATATGATGAGGGATGGGCGCAGCAGCAGCTACAGCGTAACATATAGCTTGTCTGCGCGTGCGCAAGCTTCGTTCGCGTTGTGAATTCTTCTTGTTCTGAAATCAGCTCCGCTGAGAGCGAGGTTTTTTTTTACAAAAGCTCGGTGTAAGATAACGACATCATCTAAGTACTAAGTGTGTTTCTCGTTTCTGTCTTTTTGTCTCTCTGTCATTGGCTTTATTCTCTTTCTTTCTGTTTTCGTTCTATACCTGCATTTTACTCTCCATCTCTGTCTCTCTCGCACGCGCTCTCTCTCTCTTTCTGTCTCGCGCCCTTTCTATCTCTCTCTTTTAGATGTTGCCCTCTCTCCCAGCCTTACGTTCTTTCATAGGCTCTATCTCTCTCCCGTGTTCTCTGGTTTATAAAATCGTTTATATCATTTGCCGTTATTTCCATCTTGTGTAACATACTAATGTGCATCTGTAGATGCTGAGTATCAGAATGATTACTCCAAGGTGTGTGTAAGGAGACCATCATGTAAACCACTAGATATGCAGAGTACACACTGTGTGGGCTCGTGTGCATATTGTGGCATTTGCACTCTTCTTTATGAGAACTACACGCTGTTTGCTCACGATATTATTGACTGAATCCATGCATGCCAGCTAGACGATTGGCAGCCCGGATCCGCGCGAAGCGCGAACAACGCCGCCTCGCGGCGACCCTAAATCTTATTCGCTGCATTATTTCGAACACTGTTTGGACAGTGCCCTTCGGGTAAGCATAAAAGCCCCATAATCGCTCAATTGAGGAGTTGTGGCGATTGCAGAACCCTTTCGACTACGCACGTAGGTCGAGTGTTTATACAAATGCTCGTTATTGTTGGTTTGCTGCTCGGCGCGCATCTTTTTCCTGTAGAAAACGAATTTAGCGTTTTGTCTGTTTCATGCCCTGAGATTATTTTAATGACCCCTCGTTCGCTATTCGTGAGACTTGCGAAGTTTCAGATGTTTCGATAAACTCGTGTCGAAGATTTTCTGTACATTATGCGTTTTTACACTCTTTTTGTTTGGCTGTAACAATAACAATCTGATCGGGTTTCTAGAGCTACTGTGAATGAAATATAGATGCATCTCTATTTAACTGATCGCAGCTTTGAAGATTAAACAGGTTACATGGGAGGATACCTCCGTCTACGCTCTCTTCTCTTTAGTAACGGATTCTACTGAGTGGAAAATTTTAGCGCAGCGTGCAGCATTTTTCTCATTGCCGTTAGCGTGTGAGTTACACGTACACCACATAAGAAGTTTGACCACATAAGAAAAACCTGTCGGGCGTGAGGCTCGAGCTTCACTGCTACTGATATT